CATCACAAAGAGTAATAATCAGTAAACTTCACCTGCACAATGACAGAGAGTAATAAACAGTAAATTCACATGCAACGCACAGACTGTCAAAGCTAATTAGCACTCAACATTGTTAAGAATACACTGAACAGAACTGTCATGGAATAATTTTCCTCAAGAGAATGCTAAAGATGGTTGCATTTCAGAAAACTTTCAAAGTACCCATGGTTGATATGGGAATATATTCTGATTCCAGAAGAAACGAAATCACATACATAAAGTTTTATCATAGACCTTTATCCACAACTTGGTCCTGGCTCTTTTGCTTTATCTGTGAGCTAGAAAAACCAAGGCCACTAAAAACCCCTTCTTGTAAATCCCTCATCACCTATTTTGGAAAACAACAGTCCACTTAAGAACAATTCTGCCGACTAAGTTGAAGATTCAACAAGGAATACATTATGGCAGAAACAAACATCCGAGGCTTCAATAAACAACTAACAAGCATAAATAAATTTAACAACCCTAATTTATCCAACACTAAGCTACATACTTTAAATGCTAGCTATTAGGTGAAATTGTACGAGCAATCCTAGATTTCATCTCCAAATTCCAGGAGAAAAGATTACCATAAGCAGTTAAAATCTTGAAAATATTTTGTAACTTCCATTCTCCACAGATTACATTCTCCAGAAGGACCAAACTGGTCTTAGATAAAACTTAAGAATACGAAAATACAAGTTCTTAAAACCAATATGCAGGTGCAGACAAGACAAATTTGAAACGATTTAGGGAAGTCATCAAATAGCAATAATCTAGGTAACATATAAGCAAATGCTTAAATCACCTTGAAGGAAACAGCCCCAGTGACTGACAGTTCAAGATGAATCAAGAAAATAATGGGTGAACTGACTGGTACACAAAATTCAAATAAATTTAGTAGATACTTACTGTTAAGAGAACTGAAATGCATATTTCTTTGCACATTACAGATGTTATCCCTGAGAGAGACATGCATCATATAGTATTAATCAGCAGCACACAAAAACCCAAAAAGACACAAGGGTAAAGATACAAATTGTAAACAGAGAGAAAAATGCAAAGAGGGAAAAGAATAACTACTTTATTTAAAAAAAAAATAAAGAAAAGAATAAGTAACTACTTACCACACATAAGAGCACCCTGTAGTTTCTTGGAAGCTAAGTGCTAATTCCGTTGAATATTCGGGGTCTCTCCATGAGATAATCGTATCTGGAAAATACAATCCATTAAAGAGAGTCAATATATACCAGCCACCAGGACACTTCACAAACTCAAATAATCATGCTCTAAATATTAAAATACCTTCTTGCTTCCTGTAGATGTCATCTGGGCAGATACGGTGCATAAGCAATGTCTCATTGTCTTCTTCATCAATAACAAATAAACCCAATTCTTCTGATCTCTGCATTTTAGGATTTGCATCAAGCAAATTGCATATTGTTTGCTCTCCCATTCAATTAAAATAACCTCCAAACAAAAGTTATTCTTCAATAAAAGAAAAACATTTAAAAAATGCGTTTTCACAAATGAACTCGAAAAAGCCAGCTTTACGGTCAAGAGGATACAAAACTTTATCAAGGATTAATACCTCCAAATAGTCGACACTGACATGCCCAGTTCCTTGGTCATCCCATTTTCCATCATCATTTAAACGATATACTTTGACTCTCTGAAATGTAAAAAAAAAAAACTTTATTAGTTTTTTTTTTGTAAGTAAAAAAACTTTATTAGTTACTTACACCATTACCAACACAACTAGTACTAAAATTTCCCAAGCCTCGATCCCCAAGGAAAGTAAATGGAAAAACCACTAGCCAAAAATATGTACTTAAAAATATGATGATAGACGAGAAATCTTCAAATCTTCATCTAAGAACTCAGCTATTTAAACTCCAGAAGGGAGAGAAAAGGAAGAAGAAGAAATTTCTTGGTTCTTTCTTTTTTTTCTCATTCCTTTTCAGCTGCTGGCTTTGGGAAAAACACACATGATGAATTAAGAAACAAAAGCTAATGCAGGACAGTTGAAAAGGGTTTAAAAAGAAAAGAATTAAGGAAAAAATTCCAATCTATAATACAGAGATTGGCTACAACTACCATTACAAAGTTGTCACAAGCACAATCACAAGGTCGTTAGGCATTCAACTCAATGAAAGAAAACCCATAGTTTTTATTCATACAAGATCTGTTTAATAACAATAATCCGCCTTATCGTTGCATAACCCAATATGACTAGA